AAACTATATAAATGATACAGAGGTCAGATCAGTAATTTTAGAATTATTGTCTTTTCGTCTGTCTTTGTATTTACGATTCTGTTTAAAACTACTAGATGGATTTTTACATTTAAGTAGTTAAAGACCTTGAGTCAATAACGACACGTTTTTATCGGTGATGCAAAAATAATAATTCTAATTATAAGGGGATTACTAGAGCCACTGAAAATCAATGCGCGATTGTATTTTTGTATACATCTCCGCATACCCTAAGTAAAATTCCGTTTTAAGTGAAAACATTTTTAGAATCATTGTGATATGAAATTCGAAGAAACGATACAGCGATATAAAAAAGAGACAAACATATGCAAACAATCTATAGGATAAAATATCTATAGTATTTAGCCTGCAAAACAATGAGATCGAGAATGAGAGAATCACGGTCTCCTTTTTTGAAAGTTTCACTTCTACCGCGTGTAAATTACACACATGTTTTTTGGGACAACGCACCATACCATTGAAATTGTTGAATTAAGTAAGTATTTTAATGAATTATATTTTTAAAGTTATTTTTAAGCAATTTTTAATTCTTCAATATTATCCTATGTATTGCTTTTTTGGTTTTTTATTTAATTTTGCTATTTTGTAAATTTTTTATTACATGCAATATTAAAAACTATAATAAAAAAAAAAACTAAAACTAGTAACTTAATTATCATACAGTCCTACTCACCGCGGTATCGTGCCAAGAACGCTGGCTGCGTTTCCCCGCTGAATTTCTATACTTAGCTTTTGAGCGAGAAAAGAACCAGCCCTCTTATCACCAGCAGCAACGATCAGCCAAGGATGGTGTTCCTTTAGGAACTTCACCGCATGTGGACCCTACGGACCGAAAGTCTCTACAGCAAATGGCACAAATATGTAGCCATCTCTCAGAGACTCATATTTGCGCCACTTACTCAGTTCAGCTGCCTCTGATGCCTCCCCGGCTCTAAACAAGGTACCCCTGAGATGAGAGGCCGCCAGAGTGTCTACGCAAGTAACATCCCACGCTAGGGCTTTACCTCTCTCCCAAGGGACCAATGTCATACCGTCGGGTCTCTTGCCATCGTCTCTAAATATTCCCCAAGGCTCTAAAACCGAGGGCACATTTATGTGAGGCAAGAGCCCTTCGGATGACATCGTTCGAAGAACCGTGTCGTGAAAACCTACCAGCACTTTTTTGTTATTTATATAAGATGGTAACTAAGGAATTTTAATTTTTTATATCACATTTGGTCATTGATTGCTTAAATGTGTTTTTTACATATTATTGACCTTGGCCACAATCTCAATTGATGGTAAGTGGCGATGAAGCCCTAGATGGTAAATCGCACTGTCTTAGCGTAACAAAAGCCTATTCACTGTTGCCTTGAAGACGCCCAGATGGTATTCGGACGAAAAGTCAAACGCCGGCAGATTATTTCACTGTACGTATTAAAAATGCGAATTAAATTGACAATGCACACCGTTTTATTTGAATGCGTTGAATATCGAAAACAAAGGAGTGAAGACCCACCGACCGATTAGATGTCCGATGGTGGAAAGGGGAGGGAGGAATTAAGCATGTAATTTCTGCGCACACTCTCAGAAATGCATCCTATACTCGTAAAGTACCGGAGACCGGCTAAGATTGGTTTTAACCAAACCAAGGTTACAAATGATCAATCAATTACCACCAGCGAATTTTCCGGACCGATACGACATAGGAACCTTCAAGAAAAGAGCTTACACCTTTCTAAAAGGCCGGCAACGCATCTGCAATTCCCCTTGTGTTGCGGTTGTTCATGGGCGGCGGTAGTCACTTACCATCAGGTGAGCCGCATGCTAGTTTGCCCCCTCTTCTATAAAAAAATGAGCCTCTTAGCACGTCTCTCCCTTAACTTCAATCCTGCTAGGTGACATTTCACAGCACCTGCCCATATGTGACAGCAGTACTCAGTGCACGACTGGACTTGTGCTTTATATAAGGTAAGAAGTTGCTCCGGCGTGAAGTATCGCTGCACATTTGCTTGTTCACCTAGTTTCCATGTGGCTACTTTGGCCCTGGACTCAATGAATCGCCCATAGTTGGAGTCCGAAGAAATCTCAACCCCAACAATTGTAGGCGGTCAGTGTACTCCAAAGATACATTCCGGAAAGTAAGAGCCAGTGTGAGTAGGTTCCTTTTAGCGGCAAAGAGACGTTGTGTGACAGTTGAGTTTTACAGGTGTTGTATCTCACAAGATTGTCATCAACCCATTCGGATTGTAATTTAACACCGAGTTGTTTACCTTCTTTACACATATTATATATAAAATTGAAGTGTCTGTCAGTAATATCAAAATGCTGCTTTGATATGAGCCGGGGTTACCTGCATGCCAATAAGATATGAATATTAATTATTTTTTAATTTTTGTCTGACTGTCTGTTTGTCTGTCTATCTGTACTAATCTTTGGAACGGCTAAAGAGTGGACAAACCAGTATACTCTCTTGTTAGCAGTTGACCTTGACTTGTTGGGAGGCTTGATGAAGACCTCTAAGCCATAATGAACAAAATAATACTGAAGCTCGCAAAAATATGGTTAAATTTAAAAACATTGTCTCGTTCAAAGTAGTTATTGGTAACGAATAAATACTAAAAATCATCTTGGTAAATGTATATATAAAAGACAAATATAAATAGTGTTTTATATTTGAGCGGAGTTTTCATTTAAACATTTAGTTTGTCATAAATAATACTATACTGAAATCGCAAGCGGAACGAGCAACATGTGGTCGAAACAGTGATGTCATATTGACCGCCGTGTAGTGCCAAAATGTTAATTAAAAATCCGTACAAACGAATCCAAAAATAATATATAGCTTTTGATTACGATAAATCTCTTCTTTGTGTTTACACGCTCGGCAAAGTTATGTGAACATATACTTGTATTTAGTTTAAAAGTATTTTAATATTATATCTATTTTCGAGAATTAGGATGGAAGCTGAACCGGGATTCATCAGAGAATAAAACTCTCTATCATTGGCTATTGTTCCAAGCCAAATGTCCGTTTGCAAAGGCATGAAAGTTGACTACGTGCTGTCTCCTTCTCATAGTTTGTCTGTGTCGTAGCATGCATTGTTGCTGCCCGGAGTTTCCAGAGAAAAACTGAGCGCTTTATAACTTTGATTATTTGCACAGATACTAACTAGTAGCCAGGATCCTACGTCAGGTTAAAAGTTAGTTTGAAAATTGCCTTATTACAGCTACATCGTGCCAAAAAATTACTGATTTTTCTAGGACCCGGCCTTTATCATGGAAAAGTTCTTGCAAATTAATCTGATATTGTGATGATGGAACAAACACAGTGAAGTACAGTTTTGGTCGAAATTACCATTCCATATGACAAAACCCTCGTGAAAGCCGAAACAGAAAATAGGATAAAATATCTGGACTTGGTAACAAAAATCTGGGGTGTTTGCCTGTAGTGTACCGCATCGACCGTCGGTTTCTTTCTCTTTCTAAGTGGATCGTCTGATCGTTTAGTTTCCTCTGTCGAGGGCTTTCATCCACATATAGCTATATAATTAAATAATTTTACAGATAATTAAAAATAATTATTTATTTTATAAAAATATTATTAAAAGAAACGACTGACGATAGGAAAGAAAGGTTTTCGAGCGGCAATCTCGTGTAAGTGTACTCCCCCCCTCCCCGCATCCCCACTAGATGGATTGACGACCTGGTAAGATATACCGGAGGTCGATGTACGAAGGTGGCTCTGGACTGTGCTTGGTGGCATTCCTTGGGGAGGCATATGTTCAGCAGTTGCTTATAAAAGCTAACTAACCGACAAGTCTCAATTCACAGTACGCGAATAATCCTGTTTCGATCCCCACCGACAACAATTAAACTGTTGATTACAAAGAAAGACAAACATTGTGAGGAAACCTGCTTGCGTCAATAATAAAGCCAACTGATCTCAGAAATAAGTGGAGGCCTGGAGAATATTTCACGTGGTAGAGCCATGCTGCAGCTATATTATTGGTATAGTTGCAGCGAATGGGTCGGCTCGACCGGGGAAGGACCGCGCTCTCACAGAATACCAGCGTAAAATATCAGCTTAACGCTGCTGTTTTTCGTATGGTGAGTGGAGAGAACCGGAGACCCTTTTTACTGGAAACGAGGCACTCCATATTAGTCCTCATGGATGACAACACATGCATTTTGATTCGTAATCGAGCATAGATATAGATGTCTATGGGCCACAGCAACCACTTACCATCAGGTGGACCATGTGCTCGTTTGTCACCCATATCCTATAAAAAAGCGGTGGAACGTATATGGGCTAAAATTTTATTTATTTAACTTTATATATTGCATATGGCATGAATGTTTGGAAAATTTTGACCGGCAAAAGTTGGAATAATAATTTAATTTAAAGATTGCATTAATAATTTAATTTAAAGATTGCATAGAAAGCATGTGTGTACGAGTATGTGTATATATTATCTGTACACTTTAGACGACAGTAATATGTTTATATCTTACATAAACGTAATTTATGTATTTTTAATATCTCATGTAATACGCAATAATGCTTAATATTAACTCCGCGTAGTATTTAATTCTTTTATTAAATTGCTTTGGTCTATTTTCATATACTTTTCACGCATTAACGACCTTGCAATCTAAAACATTTTAGGATTTATTATATTTTTTATTTTTGTGTCAATATTTAACGTTACATTAAATTTTTAATTATTATCAATATTAAAGTAACTTATCTATTAGCAAACATTTTACTACGATTGCCTTTTGCTGCTGTTGCTCAAAGTTAACCTAAATTCAAATTGGCTTGGCAATTAGTGACATTGAATAATATCTTGAAGCGAGCTCAAATTATTGACAGAAAGTCATTGGCAGCGACTACCACAAACGTAGTAACGCGGCAGCCAGATGGGGTCGAAGGGAGATAAAACGGGAGGCTGCTTGCACCGCAAGGGAGCGACGATATCAGTCGCAGTCAGACGATCAACCAATTCACACGTTTCTCCAATCCCAAATAGGTTCGTGATATTTAGTGACGTGTACGTGTACGATTCATATTTGTGAAGTGTTAGAATTAAAAAGGACGTATAAGTACCATTTTTTATAAAAGTGCCAATAACTAATAGAAGTGCATTTTCATCCTAGAATCTCCTTGCGCGATGTGGGATGACGTAGTGGAAGAAACTCCAGCTCCAGCCGCGCCGGCAGCAGAAGCACCTGCCGGTGATGCACCTGCAGCAGACGCATCTGCCACTGACGCATCACCCGAAGTTGCGGAGCCTCCTCCACCTGAGAACACTTCAAGGAATGAGCCAAGACGCCTTGTTTTCAAACACTGGACCAGGTGAAAGCTTCCTTTATTACTTGTTATCATAACCCTTAATACAATTTAAAATTAATGTGTATTACAAATAACTACGATTAAAACAATCAATATATTTAGTTAGTATCTTACTACGAAATATGCTAAAGCATCATTTTTTGTATTTCAGGCCGAAATTCCTTCAGTACAACTACATCTATGATTATCAACGTAACTATTATGACGATGTGCTGTCCTACCTTGACAGACGTAACAAAGGTTTACCAGTAGAGAGGCCACGAGCGCAAACTTGGGGCGAACGTGCTCTCAGAACCTACCTCTCAAAAGACACCAGCTACATGTCCAGGACGTATAACAAAGATACAACCCTCCTGCACCATATTTCTACGGGCGCCCGTTTCCAGCGTTACCACAGCAAGGCTCGCATTGCTAGGAAGTATTCCAATCTCGGATTTACAATAGTATCTATCTAGCTTTGCTTTGAATCCCTCGCTTGACCTTGCTTCGCGGACGTCGATTCAGTCTACCAGCGTGACCTATTTATCGATGTTACAGGATTTCATTGGCGTGAATCAACTTTCGCTGAGAGCCGGCAAGCGTTTCAAGTACCATAAACACCTAATCGAAGAATTCTTACTTATAAATATACCACGATTGAGAAGACAATAAATAATAAGTTTTAAAAATTGCTTTTTATTGAGGCGTGCGATCCCTCAAAATAAACAACTTGTAAGAGCACAATAAATTTAGTTATAATTAGAAATACTCGGTAAGATTAAAAATAATTTCACTGTTTATTTTTTGTGTGGAACTATTTTAGCACAGCGATTTTTAAGGAACACATGCTATGCGATGTTTGTTAATTTTTAAAAACCTACATTTGGTTTTCAATCAAATACTTAATCTATTTTTTTATATTCAAATAACAGTGCAACAATAATATCAAATGGATATCATTAAAGAAAATTATTTATTGATATGCTGATAGTGTCGTATTTCGAACTTCATTTGCTTTAAAAATTTGTAGTGCAATATCAAAATATGACTTATAGACATAAATACTTAAAGACAGTTTTTTTTTAACTTGCATATAGGCGAAAGTTTGATCACAAAAATGCCTGATGAGGCGTGGAGAAGAGGTTCGAGATGTAACGATTTTTTCTTAAATAATGTCTATTTACTCTGGCCTTAAGTAGATTCAAATTGTTACGGTCTAGAAATAGACATTAATTGTTCCCTTGACTGATTATTTCATCTAAAGTTATATTCACTATCGTATGAATAACTGCAATAGTTATTTTCATACATGAAGGTGCATTAGTGTATTTGAATATTGCGCATAGTTCTGAGAACCGAGACGAGAGTAATCTATCATGATAAAAGAAACACAAGGAAGCTTTTAGTACAATACAAGTGAAATGAATTCCGTTTGACAAATAAATATTACCTCTTACTTTTGGTCTCTGCACAACAATTAACATCAGAATTTCTAATAATTTAATACATCAGTGAATAATGTTTCATAATCGATCTTTTTATTTCAACTCATAAAGTATATTAGAGTAATGATATTTTAATTTTTCTGCCACCAGGGCGGCGCCACTTAAAAGTTAAAGAAGTTAATTTGTTCGAAAAATGTAAAGGTTAATGTTTCTTTCTATTAGCTATATTTTAGATAAATAAGAGTAAATATAAATAAACCAAACCACAGCTATTCATAAAAGTAGAAAAATTAAAGAGCATAATACTTTAGAAATTTATAAACTTTTATTAAAAACTGACGTCTCAATTAAATGACATTGTGTAACAAAAAAAACTTTACCTTAGTGTCAACTAGCGACATCTGGTGAGCAGACAATTATTAGCCCTCATTGCCAGATAAATGGCCATTATTTAATTTTTTTTAAATAATAAATTAGTGCGCGGCAATTCATTGTTGAAAGGACAGCCGCAGGTTGGGCTTGAATTAATAAAGCGTAAATAGCGCTTTCTTATTTCAGTTCGATTCTAATACTTGAACAACCAAAAAAATTAAAGTTGGTTACAATCTTATTATTTTATATATTTCATGTAAGGTGGCATCAACTTGAAAACAGAATACAAAGACAATAGCATGAGTAAAATTTAAAAGCATACAGGGCAGAGAATTTAAGTTTTCTATTATAAGATTTTAAGATTTAGATTAGAAGAAAAAAATCGATATGAACACACCACAGTTTCAAATCGATAATGTCAAATTAAGTTGCCAGTTTTTACTACATATATTATAATGTAACACTTAAATCATCTCCTCCATTGTCGTCGTGTGACACATCCGCTCTTCGCCCGCTAAATTTCAATGTCGAGATATCTAAAATAACTTATCTTTGACAGTTCAGTGAATGTAATCGCTTGGATGTTGGCCAAAATGCTTGGTTACCTACCAGGTAAAGCCGGCAATCGGCCAAACTGTAGATAATTAAATGTTACAACGATCAAGAGACCTCAAACCTTCGATTAACAATTTACAGGCTAGAATAAAAGCAGCCTACCCTATTAATATCCCTGTAAGTTGCATTAATTTTAAAGCATTTTTTTCTTCATAAAAGTAAGAGTGACAAACGCCGTGGGTCGTGGTTTCGAATCCCGCACGGAACAAGTATTTGTTAATAATTAAATAATTTAAATGTCAATGTTTAATTTTATTAATGTTTCTAAAAAGTCTCTACTATATGAGGGGGGGGGGGGGGGGCTACGATTGTAAGTGGTAATGCAGCCGCACTGACTTAGCTTAACAAAAGTCTATTTACTCTTACCTTGAAGACATTCACATTATAATCGGATGGAAGAACAGACACTGGCAAATTATTATTATTCCACTCCTTTGCTGAAAGCATTATGAACGACGAAGCACGTTATGAGATATTATGTGGCATAAATAACTATTCATGATTATAACCAAGCTGTTAAATTTGCAATTGATCAATTTATTTGCAAATCTTTCTAATTTTCATATCGTTTTCCGAGTTCAAAAACTCGCTAACGGTCGCTTTAAACTTTGATATGAGATACTTAACTTGTATAAGACCTATAGTGGTACGCACTTTACTTATTTATACTAAATTGTTAGGATTATGTACCTACTATATTATACAGGTTTGTTTCGTCACTAAGCGTTACCGAATCACATTCAAGCAATCATAAGTACTTGACTGTTTTGTTCTTTTTTGCATTCAATTTGCACCGAAGAATCTACTATGAAACATTAGTAATTTAATATGTGCAATTTTTTGGTTTTGTCGGGTCACAAAGCTTAAGGTGACCATAATACCCTCACGTACTATATAATTACCGTGCAATGGCGGAGTTACAATATCTATCACTCCATAACCTACCATGGGTAACAGTGTGTGTGTGTGTGTGTGTGTGTGTGTGTGTGTGTGTGTGTGTGTGTGTGTGTGTGTGTGTGTGTGTGCGTGCGTGCGTGCGTGCGTGCGTGCGTGCGTTCGTGCGTACGTGCGTGCGTGCGTGCGTTCGTGCGTGCGTGCGTGCGTTCGTGCGTGCGTGCGTGCGTGCGTGCGTACGTGCGTGCGTACGTGCGTGCGTGCGTGCGTGTGTGCGTGCGTGTGTGCGTGCGTGCGTGTGTGTGTGTGTGTGTGTGTGTGTGTGTGTGTTTAATAAATTTTCAGTTTCATCATACTCTATTGTCTTTAACCACACTGTAACGTGTATTTTCACATTTTACTGGGTCATTGCATATATGTTTAGATTTTTATTAACGTTATTATAGAGATGAGCAGACTGACTTTTAAATTGCCTTCTGGCAAATCTTGTTTTCATAGGAACTACTGTGGCCACAGCATGTCTTCTTCTTCTGTCGCAATTTCTGGGGTTTTATTTCAGTGTCTTGTGCAATCTTAAGACAGAGTTAAGGATATACAGCCTCCTGACCGAAAGGTGGTCACATAGAGAGTACAGATCTTTAGTAAGGAATCTATAGGGCTTAAATTGCATCACCTTTAATAACAATCTCTGTACTCTTTCCAGTTCCAGAAACTTCGTTTCCCTTTCCCAAACCGGGATACAGTACGTCAAGATAGATTGAGCTAATGAAACATATATTTGGCTCAGTAAGTTCTTATCTGTGACATGTTTAAGTGTTTTAAAAATCCATATGAGTTTTCGTATCCTAGTTATCATCAGTTCCAGATAATGTGCATGCCAGGATAGACGCTGGTCAATTATTACTCCTAAATATTTTATTTTGCTTACTTTTGATATTTTGTTACAAGTGCAGTCAGAATTTGAGAATTCAGAACATGTATGAATTTTAATTTCAAAGTTGGTTTCTGGTTGTGAGTTATTATAATTTGAAAAAGCTATGTAATTAAATTTGGTAGTATTGAGAGTTAATAGATTAGAATTTAACCAGCTGGCTATCTCGGTGAGACCTTTCTCTGCTATTAAACGAACATCATCCCAGTTGCGCCCCTTAAAAACAACAGCCGTGTCATCCACGTAAGAAATATCTGTCCACCTCTGATTTTCATACAACATAGATTGTTAATATATATTAGGAAAAGGGGCGGGCCAAGTGCACCACTCTGGGCAACGTCAAAAGTTACATCACAGTTGCCACTCACATAGGGTCCAATTCTAACGCATTGTTCACGCCCAGTGCGATAGTCAACAAAAACTACGTACTAAGGTAGGTACTGACACGGTATCGAAGGCTTTTTTCAAGTTTAAAAATACAGTTAGGCATTTGTTACCTTTGTCCACATTATCTACGATAAGAGAAGTCAGTGTAGCAATTTACCATATCTTTTTATCATATTCTTCTCATCAACATTGTCATCCTGTATATTGAACAGTTTTAAAATCAGTAAATGTACACAGAACTTTTCTGTTTACTTTGCCAACCCGTTTTGCCAAGCATGGCAACTATGGCAAATATCCCCCTATAAGTCGATCTATGGGGGAAGGCCTATGTTCAGCAGTGGACTTAAATAGGCTGTAAAGGTAACGGTATACAGATTGCTCATTCATAATTGAGTTCTAATATTAACCGATTTAAATCAAGGCACTGGTAATACTCGTATAATTATATAACCAGAGCTAAAAGTAATTATATTTGCAAATATGATTACTAAACAACGTTAAGTGCATTGATTTCATAAGCAGCTGCTTCTCAATAAGTTATCTTTTCAACGCGGGAGAGTGTTAGGTAGTGATGCTGGCGATACGTTCGAACGGAAACTTTTTAATGAGCGCGTCCGTATATTGATTCTCCATATTATGTACTCGTAACTTCGCCGTTTTTCTTAGTGATTCACTAACATAACGTTCTGCTCTCAAAGCTCTGCTTGATAGCTGCTCACAGGTCTCGTTCGTCACGCATAACACGCTAAAAAGGCTAAAATCTCATGCCAGATTGCAGTAAAACTAATATTGTTAGAATTACAAATCGTAAAGGAAAATTAAGTTTCAGAAGAATGCTATGTTTAATAGCATTCCTCTTCAACTTCATTCTCTGACTTTGCCTTTTAAAACAAATGTAAACTGTAATTTAGTAGACGTAATCACTTATCTATTACCAGAAGTCAATTGAATTTATTTAAATTACCTTCCGCAATTAAAGTTTGCTGATGAGAGTTACAATGTCCCGAGCTGCTGTTAAGAGCACAAAGTTTCATTAGCGA